CCCTTGAAATGAGACATGATTTGATACGGGTTAAGGGTGATTTTACTAGATCCGAACTTGACTTATCTTTTCGAGATACAATCCGACCCGACCTGATTCGACCCGAAACAAATATGTTTACAAAAAATTACCTTTATTCAATAAAAATAAGGATTTAATTAAACTAATAATATAGAGAGGGATATTATTGTAATTTCTCTAAATATATAATGTATAATTATATTATTTTTCGGTTAAGATATTTTTCACCATAAATCCAAACCCAACCGGAGCATATCTTCTAAAAAATAAAAACCATAATTTTTTTCAAAAAGAAAATTCGACTTAAGAGCATATCGAATCAGAATTTATCAAGTTGTGCAATATCTATTTCTATGTTACATGCCAGACAAAGTCCTTCACTCATTTATGTCAAGTCAAATTATAGTTTTGATTCTTTTACTATGACTAAATTCGGGTTCGTCTTTATATTTTATTTTTGACATAATTCGATTTCTTTTAGTTTTATAATATAATCAGTTAGTTCAAATAATTAATATCGTTAATTATTCCATTAATAAAGTTAATACGGATGTTGCTTTCTTAATAATATAATTTCAAATCATTATGTCAGTTATTTTGTTAGGAGTGCTTTTAAGAAATATTCATACAAGTATTTTAATTAAAATAACTAAAATAATTAACTATTTTGACCAACTAATGATATTATAAAAGTAAAGGATTAAATTATAGTAAATTAAAAGTATAAAGACTAAATCTAAAATTTAAGTCCAGTAGAGAGATTAAAACTATACTTTTACCTTTATTTTTGGGTAAATTACGTATTTAGTATTTAAAATATCATTTTTAATCCGTTTTAGTACCTAAACTTTCGATTTTTTCAAAACTATATCTAACGTTTAATTGTTGTTTCATTTTAGTACACTGCTTTAAAAACTTAACGGACTGACTCGTCGGTCACCGATCTACAGTCTCCTGCTGTCGCATCTGTTGGTCAATGAAGCCTGAACTTTCCAACCCACATCTTTTCAACCCCCTGAACGTGATCTTAGCCTCCGTTCCATCGGAAAATGTTGACGATGGACTCTTTGACTTATTCATCTCCAATCTCCTTCATCAACAATATGATAGGCTTGAAACTGAACTATGTTGGTCGACTCGTCATTTTCTCATGGTCCACCGTTTGGATTGGTCGTCCATGCACCAAAGCTATACCCTGTCAGCTTGTCTGTTAAGTTTTTAAAGGAGGATACTAAAATGAAACAAAAACTAAATGTTAGGTATGATTTTGAAAAAAAAATGAAAGTTTGAGTACTAAAATGGACCAAAATTAATAGTTTAGGTATTAAGTGCATAATTTACCCTTATTTTTAATAGCGTAGATTTGATCAAGTTGGTTTAAGTCGCTAAAACTGCATATAGCTTGTATTGAAGTTCTATTTTTTAAAAAGAAAATAAAGGCCTAAAAATATTCTGTGTAAAGTATAAAAATGGTCATTAAACTATGTTGATATAATCTTGTTGGCACTAAAGTTTCAAAAGTTATAAATTAGTCATTAAATTTATCGAGTTATTACATATGATCATTGTATCTTATAACATAGTGATAATTTTAGATAACTTTAATGGTCCTTTTGTAATATTTTTATAAAATTTAATGTCTATTTTGTAATTATTTGATAAGTTTAATGACCATTTTATAGCTTTTGAAATTTCAATGACCAGAAAGATCATTTCAACATAGTTTATTGATCACTTGTGTACTTTATCCAAATATTTTAGGCCTAGAATTAAAAAAAATCATTTTAGCCCTTACTTTTTTTGTTTCTTTAGGCCCTCAAACTTTTATTTTTTTTATCAAATTAAATCTGTTGATGGGAAAATAATGAATTTTAATATTTTTATATTATTTTTACAATTTAACAGTTTCTTAATATTAACAAAAGGATAAAATAACTCTGGTCAACTTAACTTTTTCTTTAATTTTTTTATTAGTTGGTTCTATATGAAAATATTTGAAGTTTGAAGACCAAAAAAGAAAACAAAAAAATTAAAAAAATATAACTTTTTAAAATATGTTTGAAGTCCAAAAATATCTTTATATCAAAATAGAGAGTTAATAGCATCACATGTCCTCAAAGTATGACCCTTATTTTAAATTGGTCCCTAAACTTTTAAATATTCCAATTTTATCCTTAAACTATGACGACCATTCTAAATTAGTCCTTAAACTTTTGAACATTTTAATTTCATTTCCAAGCTATAACCTTCATTCTAAATTGCTCTCCAAACTTTTTTAACATTCCAATTTCATCCCAAACTGTATGTATATACTAATCATATCTATTGTTAATAAAATTGTTATGCCATTTTATATTATTATATGTTTGAAAAACAAAATATAGGTTAAATCATGGTTGAAATTAATTACATATTTGGATGATTTTGGGGATGAAATTGGGTCAAGTTTAGGAATGAAATTAAAATGTTCAAACTTTGAGGACTAATTTAAAATGAGAGTCATAGTTTGAGGATGAAATTGAAATATTTAAAAGTTTAAGGACAATTTAAAATGAGATTTATAGTCACGAGTGAAGTGTTTAAAATTGATACTATAAATATTTATTAATTATATTCAATATTGAGATATTTATTTTTATTTAAATATTATTATTAGGAAAGATTTATGATCTATTTTTAACTGATTTTATATAGTATAAAGAAATCGTTTCTCTATTTTTTTTTTTGGAGAAATTCTCTAAACTTTGAAATATGTAGAAGAAGCAGTCTTTTTCATCAGTTATTGGTATGTCCAAACTTGAGATCTGCTGGGCTTTGCTCGCTGTCGGCATCATTCGTCTTTAAGCCCATATTTTAGTTGAAGGCTTGAAATCCTTAGCTCCTTCGCGTATAATATATAGGGTTTAAAGTTCAGCAATTCGAGTTTTTTCTTCTTCTAATAATAATAATTTTGCATAAAAAACCCGTTGAGTGGTTTCAGTGGTTAAAAATAAAGATGGAATTGGGTCATTCAGATCGGGTTTGAGTTGGATTTCAGGTCTAGATTACATTAATTTAGATTTGGTTCGGGTCAGATCGATCTAGTTCGGGTTTAGTTCAAGTATATGAAAATTCAGTTCGGGTCGGGTATGAGATCGGGTCACAATCAGATCGGTTGATTTTCGGATGAGGTCGACCATTAGATTTTCATGTCAATTCGGATCGATTTCAATTTGAATCAACCTTTAAATTTTTGGGTCAATTGTTGTAGCTCTTTGTCATCATAACTTTCGATGTTGCTTTTATTACTTATAATTCAAGATTTTTATGTGAATATATATTATCATATCCCAAATTCAAAGCTAGAATTTTTAGTTTTAATTAATAAAATCAACAAATCTTTAAAATCAAGAATTTTATGTTAATATATATTGTCACGGACCAAATTCAAAGCTAAAAGTTACTTCATCAGATATAGAAATTGTCTTTTACCTGAGGAAATATTATATTGAATCATTAAACTATTACTAGAAGTGATGGTTAACTAGTAATATAAAATAAAATAAGAATAAAACATACATCATTTTATTATTTATCAATGCTAAAAATAGATGATAATAATAATAATAATAAATAAATAAATAAATTCTTCATTCACTTAGACTCGATTATCGAGTTAAAATCGGATCAAAGTTCGGTTCGGACCATATATATGTAAATTGATTTGGGGTTGCTTTCGGTTCAAGTTGCCTTCGGGTTGGGCCTTTTCGGTTCGGGTTACTTTCGATCCAACTATAATTCGGGTCGATTTCAGTTCAATTCAGGTTATTTCAGGTTTCAGATCAATTTTGGGTTATCTTGTTCGGTCTATATTGGGTTTCGGATCGGGTAAATCAGTTTGGTAATCGGATACGAGTCAAATTTTTCAGATCTTGTTAAAGACAATGTTGTTTTCCAAGCTCTAGCCTTCTAGGTTTAAGCAGTTGCGTCTGTGGGGTGTGTGTGCATTATCAATGACTTAAAAAGATTATGAGTAAATATTATCTTATAATCGCTTAAGAATACTTAAAAAAATAATTTTGCATGGATATTCTGCTTTGCTTTATATGGCTAAAATAACTTGATCAAATCTTTTATTCCATTTTGCCTAAAATAACAAATTCTTTTGCCAATATAGTCCCAACATGACAAATTCTAACAAATTTGTATATACAGTGCAAGCAGTTAACAACACTGGACTTTGTTGCGTCCCGTCTTGCAATTGCAACCAAAACATCCTTAAGTATAAATCAAAGCTTTAATTATTACTTATGCATTAGATAAAAGAATGTCACAAGCAGGGACAAATACAATATTTTATGTTAGGAGGGATGAACTTATAGACAAATACAATATTTTATGTTAGGAGGGATGAACTTATAAAATTTTAAGTAAGAGAGAACTTATAAAATTTTAAGTAAGAGATAACTTATAAAATTTTAGGGGATAAAACATATTTTCAACATAAAATACAAAGAAAATATATAAAATGTATAAGAATTTAAAAATTTAGAGGGGCGACCTCCCCCAACCGATCCCCTCTAGGTCCATCCCCGGTCACAAGAAGGCTTAAGGCTCAACCCTACCACTTATAGTTTATGCTTTCTTCTCACTGTGGCGTGATCATGGGCTCATCTACCATGTGTAGCTTATACTTTATTCCAGTCTTGTAGCTTCTCAATAATATGGATCAATTTTGATTCAAAAATTGAGTCACTAAACTAATTGATTGCAGAGTTTGCAGGCATGGACAAACAGGTTTAGTCAAGGTTAAATGGTTATAGTGGCAACCTTAACATTTTTGTCACTAAAAGATGTGAATCAGAATAGCTTGATTCGCTAATCTTGGCTTTTCCTACTCCTCAAACCATTCGTCTCTTCCTCACAAAGCAAGCACCACCTTTATAACCCATCTGTCTCTTTTGTTTTCTTTATATATTACAGATCGGAATTACTCTACATTGAAGGGTTTTTGTGTTGCTGAGAGGGGAAAGATGTCGGATTGGGGGCCTGTTTTCGTGGCGGTGATGCTGTTCCTACTGCTAACACCAGGGCTGCTGATTCAGATTCCGGGGAGATCGCGTTATGTAGAGTTTGGCAACTTTCAGACCAGTGGGGTGTCCATCCTGGTGCATTCCATTATTTATTTTGCACTCATGTGTATCTTCCTCATTGCTATTGGTGTGCACATGTATGTTGGTTCGTAGCTGACAAAAACCAAGCACCCAACATTGTTAGAAACTTGTGTTTTCAGTTCAGTTTCTGTCTGCATTTGTGTTTTCGATATCAACTTTTAGTTTGTCATTTGATTTTCTCCTTCACATTACTCCTGCAAAAATTGATTAAAAATGTTTTGATTCTTGGTTTTTTTATCTACTTGCGTCTTATTAATGGTACTTCAGAATCATTGCTTTATTTATTGGTGCTTAATCCAATGATTCATGCAATCATTTGCCCTTAAGCTCATATTCAACCCAACAGGTTTCTAGGTTGCCAAATTTCCATATGCTTGGTAGTAATGTTTAGGCTTAATACATGTTTTAGTGCCTAAATTATTCCTCAAAATATGATTTGGAGCCTAAAGATTTTTCGCTAAAAATAGGTGTCTAACATTTTCAATGTTACAATTTTAGGTGTCTGGACTATAACGGCCGTTATTGGTCGTTATCTGACACGAGTCACACATATAAAATTTCAAAAAATATTTTATTTAAAAAAATTAATATTATAATTATAAAAAACATAAAAAAAATCCCCAAATTTTACATCTTCCGCCGCCGTTCGACCAGCGTTGGTCCGTGGTCGTCACTGTTGACATCATCAGAATCGTCTCACCATAGAGACCAAAACTCAATCCCCCAACCACTGTAAAACTGCACCGATTTTCGTGAAATACGCCACGAAGGGTCGTCGAATTTCTAGGTTTTCGTTGCTGTTTTTCAAAACTTTTGACAGCTACAGTCGTTCATACATTACACGACCGCCACCAATGAATTCCTTATCCTACTCCAAACAAAACACGATCAGTCGTGACCCTTCGTCGTCAGAGGTGGTGGATGGGAGGGATAGGTACGACGAGGGGAGGGGGAGTTTGATTTTTTTATTTTATAAAAAGATAATATTTTTATTATTAAAAATTTAAAATATAACGATAAATGCACCTAAAAGTGTAACGAAAGAATGTGTTATGCTCCTATCTTTAGTAAAAAATTCTTTAGACACCAAATCGTTCGTCAAATTTCTAGGTTTTCGTTGTTGTTTTCTGACGATTTTGATAGCTACAGCGTCCATACATTACGCGACCGCCGCCATTGAATTTCTTGTCCTACTCCAAACAAAACATGATCGATGGTGACCCTTCGCCGTCAGAGGTGGAGGATGGGGGGAGAGGGACAACGCGGGGAGTGGGAGTTTGATTTTTTTTTTAATTTTTGTAAAATGATAATATTTTTATTATTAAAAAATTTAAAAAAATATAAAGATAAATACACTTAAAAGTGTAATGGAGAAAATGTTATGCACTTATTTTTAACAAAAAAAAATATTTAGGCACAAATCGTATTTCGAGGTATTGTTTAGGCATTAAAAAGTGTATTAAGCTTAATGATTAACTTAAGAGCCTGAGTAACATATCAGTGATACGGAGACGGACGTAGAAATTTATGTTAGGAATAAAAAATAAAAAATATATATATCGAAAATATATGATAATTACATTTTCAGAAGCAATCCATCCCTGCAACAACATATCTCTTCTTAAAGTTCTCTGTGAGCAGAAAACGGCAAAGTACAAAATGGAAACCTCATGTTGTTCTAAGACAGGGAGGTGAATATGAAGAACAACAAGAAACAGGATGAGGAACACAGCATAGAGAACAGCATGCACAAATATGGAAGCCACACTTGTTTTCATGTTCATGAAACCCATGGGTTGATTCTTCCCTGGGATTTGCAGGATTAGCCCTGGCGATAGAAATGCAAACAGCGCTGAAGCTATCAATGGAGCAGCCCAGTCTCTCATTTCACTCAAATCTCCTCTGGAAAATGGAATAATCAATCAAAAATGTGTTTTGGATTATGCAGAGAACAGGAATCCTACGAAGCTAAACATAAGAACTCTCAATCCCACATGCTCTTGATGCTCCATCAACGTCCATTTAAAGACGAATCAATCTTTAAAAGTAGTTTGTTTTTTAATGCCTTTGATTATTAAAATTTGAGACAACATAATGGCTTTAGACAAGAAACTACCTACTCCATTTCCTGCCGAAAGTGAGAAATAATTTAATATTGCCCGACTACACTCCTCTTCATTTCATTCATCAAAATTTAATGGTGTTAAGAAGAGGATTAATGTAAAAATAAGTGTACAAATTATATTAATGTTAATTTTAGGTGTTTATAGATTTTTTTTATTAAAAATGTGTCTAATGTTTTCGACATTACACTTTTAGGTGTCTGGAACATTAAAACCTTTAAATTATGCCGTTAAGAGCAGTGGTGGAACTTAGTGATAAATTTGAGGGCAATCTAAAATTTTAAAAAGTTTAGAGGTTTAAATAGGCCTGTAAATGAACTGAACGTTCAACGAACCGTTCATGAACCGTGCGGCGGGAAGTTCGTTTATGTGCCTTTATTTATTAAATGAACGAACATGAACAAGATTTTGTGTTCGTTTAATTAAATGAACGAGCATGAACATAGGTCTCGTTCGTTCATTTATGTTCGTGAACGTTCGGTTATGTTCGTTCAGTTATGTTCGTTTATGTTCGTTCGGTTATATTCGTTTATGTTCATTCATTTATGTTTAACCCAATATTCTTAAATCAATTTTGGTGACCAATTTGTAAGTATCTTAAAAATATTAATTAATCTGATATTCTGATGACCAATTTATGTTCCTATATTCATTTTCCCCATTTTTCCAAACCCTAGTGTTCACTGGAGAGTAGAGAGAAAAATATATAGAATTTTCCATAAAACAAAACAAAGTTTCTATGCAATTTCTGAAAAAAGAGTGTAATAGCAAAAGTAATGGGTTTTCCAGGAAGAACCCATTAATAAGTAGAAAATACATTTTGACAATGAACTTTTGTTTTCATAGTTCTTGTGTGACCTTTAGTTGTAGAGTAGACTTTAGGTACGTTAAAATTTTGAATGGTGGTTTAGCAATAATATCAGTTACAATATGTAGCATCGAAGGGATTTTGGATCTATGTTATTGCCTTGTAGTCCAATTTATACCGTTCGAAATCTTTATACTGTTAAATTTTCTACTCTGCCAACGGAAATGACCATTATTAACAAACCTCACTAAAGTCTGACATTGATGTCACAAAACTTTTAGCCAGCGAATTTATTAGAATAACGTAGTGGAAAATGATTGTTCATATGTAATCATGGACCACTAAGATAAATGTTATAGCGTTAAATTAAAGTCGTGTGAATCATTTAATATCTTTAAAAGATCGATCAAAATATTTGATATCTTCAAACATTTTATCACTGCTAATCAACTCTTACGCTATTTATCACTGTAGATTTGGTTGATTTGCATTGTCGACTATTTTTCATGAAAGAACAATGGAAGGCAGGGTCTCCAACGTTTATGTTCGTTTATGTTCGTGTTCGTTTATGTTCGTGTTCGTTTATGTTCGTGTTCGTTTATGTTCGTTTATTTATTAAATGAACGAACATGAACAAGTTATATTCCTTAATAAACGAACATGAACAAAAAAAAATTTATTCGTTTATGTTCGTGTTCGTTTATTTATTAAATGAACGAACATGAACATACCTCCATTCGTGTGCGTTCGGTTCGTTTACAGGCTTAGGTTTAAATTAAAATTTTGAAAAAACTTAAAGTCTTTAGTTTACATTTTCTGCAAAAAGAATTGCGGTCTAACTAAAATTTTTGAAACTTTAAGAGATTTAATGAGATTTTTTTTAAAATTATGAGAGGAATTTAATTAAGAACATTAAAAAATTTCAAGCTTAATTTGAATTTTTAAAAATTTTATGGGGATAAATTATTTTTTAAAAATTTTAATGATCTAAATTATAATTTTTAAAATTTCGGGGGTATGACCCCCACTAGTCCCCATTAAGGGTGTAAACGAGCCGAGTAAAACTATGAAATGAAGCTCGACTTGACTCGAAAACTCGCAAGCTTAATATTTTCAAGCTCGACTCGAACTCGAAATCCTGAACTGAAGCTCGTGAGCAGCTCGAAAAAGGCTCAAATAAAAAAAAAATCTTAAAATTAACTCGATTGAAGCCTCAAACTCAAACCTGAACCTTAAATACATGAAAATCTTATTGTATTTTAAAAAAATCAATACATAAATGTTAATATTATTAATAATTTATTTTAAAAAAATAAAATCTTAATTTATTAAGTTTTTGAGCTGCTCACGATCTTTTTGAGTCGAATATCAAGTAGCTCGTTTCGGCTCGTTAAGAACTCGAGTCGAGTCCATTCGATCCGAGTATTTATCGAGTCTTGATCGAGTCGATCTCGAGTAGCTCGCTATCTGTCTCGTCTCATTTACTGGTTAAGAGACACATGTTAGTCATATAAAATTTTAAATTTTTTAAATAAAACTTTTAGAAATTTTATAAGCATATCATGTTTCATTTAATGGCTGAATTTAACGACAGACAACTAAAAGTGTAATGTCGGAAATATTATGCATCTATTTTTAACGAAAAATTATTTAATCACCTAAAATTAACTTTAATTATAGTTTGAACATTTATTTTTACATTAAATCTTAAGGAAACATGAAAAAAAAATCCTAAAAATTAGTTACCCACCCACAAAATCTTGCAATTATCATTAAAATATTAAAAGTAATTTAATAAAAATCCAATGCTATTCGAATATATTTTATTCAATCATATTTCTTAAATAATTTGGAAAGTGACTGTGATAGTAATAAAACCAATATCAGAGGGCATATGTTAAGTGTATGCAAACCCTTATTACCAAAAATCCTACTCTTATTTCTACTAGTCAACACTTGACATTTAAATCTAGAGTAAGTTATATATTTAATTATTCCATTATCACTTTAATTTCTTTTTTATTATCCAATTATTTCTTTTAAAAAATTGTACATAAAATCACGTTATGATTCTGATTTTACCATCCAACTATTTTTCAAATATACTTAAAATTACGTTTTAGTTATATTTTGGTTACCAACTATTAAAAATTTAATAGTGATGCTGATGTTAAGGGTGAACGTTCGATTGAGTCGAGTTGAGAAAAAAATTCTAGTTATTCGAGTTGACGAGTCCTATTTTTTAACTCAAACTTTATTTGAAATTTTTTCAAGTCGAGTCAAGTTTATAAAATTTGAATCGAGTTGAGTTCAGTTGTTCAAATTTTTGTTTAAATTTTTTATAATTATTTATAATATTGTGGTACTATTTTATTCCAATTTAAACGGTTTTTTATAACTATATATAATACAAATATATTTATTCATATATCATATAAAGTTGAAAGACTCGACTCAAACTTAAAAATCAATCCACTAATCATTAAAAATTTTGAGTTATTCAAATTATCTTTGTTTTATTTTATAACTGGACTCAAATTTAAAATTTTTTCGAGTTGAAAAAAATCAAATTTCAAGTTTAATTGAGTTATGCTCACTCCCAATTGACGTGTTGCCAAAATGTAATGCCTCAACATCAATGAAAAAATAAAAAATATAATGTTAATAGTATTATTTATATTTTAACGATGGTTGTTCAAAATAGATCCAAAACATAATATCATATAGGATTTTTTTAAAAAAAGTTAAGTGATCAAAACAAAATCAAAGTGATAATTGAGTGTCTAGATAAGTAGTTTAGCCTTGTATTTAACAGCTACAAGTGGATTCACGCACTCTTGTTTTTCTTGTGCGTACAAATGATTCTCACTTCCCATCTGTCTCTTTCAACTCTCTGGTTCTCATGGCTATAACGCTATATTTATCTTCCTTACTCTATTCCCACCTAGTAATTTCACTCTTCTCCTTTGCAAAAAGAAACAAAAAGAAGGGAGCTTTCAGTACTGATTTCTGAAGCTCTTGTGAGGACAGTGGTGAAGTGGAGGGAACTATTTTTAATGGCAGATTGGGCCCCGGTTCTTGTAGTGGTGGTGCTATTTGTGTTGCTATAACCGGGACTTTTTTTTCATTTCCAGGGAACAGCAAGCAGCTGGAGTTTGGGATCATGAAAACTAATGGCAAGGCCATTGCTATCCACACTCTTCTTTTCTTTGCCATCTATGCTGTTTTGATCGTCGATGTTCACCTCCATATCTACACCAACTGAGCCTTGCCCTGCATGGTGAGACTCTCGTTATTGATCTCTCACTTCAAGATCTCTACTGGGATTTACTTTGTTAATCTTTGTATTAGAGAAAAAGAGGAACTCTTAATGATATTTGTCATATGAAAATTGTCTATTTCTTCATTTAGCTTCACAGAGTATTATTCCTTTGGTCATATTAGGCCGGCCAGGGGCTTGTTACTGCCAAAACAACGTCCAACCCAAGGTTTCTCCTCCGGTCGGTCATCAACCTTTTCTTTGTCTCCTGCTCCTCTTTTTGCCTTATTCAATCATCTCCATTTGGCTTTAAATGGCTGTTTCTATATGAGGTTCACTAAGCCTTGTTATGCAGCTATTTGCTTATAAAATCCTCCTACATATTCTCAATCCTTTCCCACATAAGTCCCAGAAGAAATATTGTGGCAAGAAACACAAGGAAGAGGGATGTCGGGAGATTGGGGGCCGGTAGTGTGGCAGTGGTGCTGTTTGTGTTGTGTTCACCAGGGTTGCTGTTTCAGCTGCCTGGAAACAAAAGAGCTGCGGAGTTTGCTAACTTCCCATCTCCATTTTTGTTCACACCATCATATTCTTTGGGCTAGTTACCATCTTTGTGATTGCTATTGCATTCATATTTCTTCAGGGTAGAATAATAAAGGATTATCCCCTCTTTTTCCAATTTCATGCTGTTTGTTCCTTTAAAAGTTACATTTCAGATCAAGTTTATTTACATATCAAACTTTATATTACTGTTTTTAATTTGACAAATTTCATAGTTTATAGATTTTTGTGAATTGCCATTGATAAAAGAAAGCAACCAATTGTTAGCAGAATATTTCGAGCCCTGAATTTTGAATGAACTCGAGTTTCATATAGCTTTATTCAATTCAGCTCTAGTTCTGGCCACCCTCTAGGGGTTACATTAAACCGATTTCCAGCACAGAGCAGGGCTATGCGAAAACGAGTGCTCTTTGCAATACCATTTACCATATACTTCCTTTTTCTGGTTTGAATTAGTTGCACAATCTGATAGTTTCTTTTCATACTAGTACTACCACTGTATTATGTATAGATTACTGATTATTGGTGATCCTAATTGCGTAATTATATGTTGAATTCTTGACTTATGTCATGTCAAAATGTTCTTTAGTTAAATCTGAATTCGAAACATCGATCTTGATTTTCTTTCACTTGAATTACAGACATCAACTATGTTTAATTATACATAAGGCAGTTACAGATAATTACAGAACGTCTTCAAGTGTCCTTTCATGTATGTTCATTCTTTTCAAGTTTTTTCATGTATGTCGAAGGCCCTTGAAGAGTCATAATCTCATACTCTTGTTTATATATGCATCTGGTACATGTGTTGGACATAAAATCTTATTACTTAATTGAGCATGGATACTAAGAGCTATATGATTATTCATTGCTCTCTAGTGAGCAACTTCTTGGAGTTTAATTCGTTCAGAATTGTTCCTTTCATGCTTGAAACGTTCTTGAACAGAGAATATGTAAGTAGCAGCCTTAATATCAATACTTTCGTCACCAGTAACTCCAAAGAAGTTGTCGATTTTGCTTAAATTATCTCGGTTCTCGTCAGCCGGTACAATGAATGAGAATTGCTTTGGTTGGGAAATCATATAATCCTGGTAAACTCGAAAGCTGACCGAAGACATTGCAGAAGAATCCTGGTTTGGCTTGACCTTGCCGGTGTATTGCTTGGCTGCTGGTGCTGCCTTGACTGGTCGGTAGAACAGCTTCAATTTCCCCTTGATGAGCCCTCGGTGCTTGCGATTGGACTCCATCTTAATACCTATATGGATATTGGACTCGAGATCATTTGATCAAATGATAATTACCGAGTGGTACGCAATACAAGAGTAGGGTAGCTTTATATAGTAGAGGCTTGTGCCAGTGTTTCATTGTCCGATAAACCAGTTTCAGATAAACTCTCAATGGATGTGGCACCTTAGGTAAATATATATTCCAAATACTTTGTAGGATACGGAAACTTGTAAAGCAGATATTAATTAATTATGAATTCATTGTATATTTTATGCAAACCATTGGCCTTTTTATAATTATTAAGGGAATCGGCATCATATTAGCAGTGGATCCTACCAAATAGAAATGTTTCTTTTCTCTGTAATTTCCAAATATTGTGACTTTAGAGAGCTCATTTGCATAGGAATCTCTTGCTCTGCTTCTGCTCAAAAGGCACCAACACTGCCCAACTTTAGCAGATGCAAGGCAAATTATGGTGTTTTTTTTCTGGTGGAGGCTACTGCCCATTCTATTACAGTTAATGTCGATGGGGCGTTTGACTCGGAGCAGTCTGCTTCCGTAATTGAAGTTCTTGTTCATGATAATCAGGGTCTTGTGATTGCTGGCCATGCACTTCCAATTCAGAATGCCGTTGATGCTAGTATTGTGGAAGCTCAGGCCATCACTTCAGGCATCCAACTACCATCTGAGCTGTCCGTGTGAAGTGTGGTGATTGAGAGTGATTCAGCGAACTTAGTCTGTCGGTTAATATCACTGGGACTTTTGTTAACATCACGTTACATTCAACGCATCTGAGCTGTCCGTGTGAAGCGTGGTCATTGAGAGTGATTCATTGTCATGTCTCGGTCCATTACATTCGACGCTCTGCAAATGTAGCTGCCTATGGTCTTGCTCAGTGGGCTTCTTCTTCTTCTTGTTATCCTATATATTTTTCATATGATTGCCTTCCTTGTATTGCTGATATTGTATCGCCTAGATTAAATACATAATTTGGATTTTTTTTATAATATTGAAACTAGCTACTTTAGATCATATAATGACCATATATGAAAAAATTAAAACCCAACCAAAACACTCGAATAAAAAATAGATACGAATAAATCTGATTGTATCAACAAACTAACCATAAAATGTGATTAAGCTATTAATAACATCAAGAACCGCAAACTGGCCTTAAATACTGTATGTTTTTAGACATGGTGGCTCACCGTAGGGCAAACTGCGGTTAAGTATACAAGACTGACCTATGCGAATTGGCTTGTTTCCTTTACTCAGACATGAACAATACAGTTGTCGAGTTTCCATGTTTTGGATATCCGTATAGATAGATAAATAGACATATAGATAAAAAGAAAAGACCGAATTATACAATGTAATTTTTTTAGTTTTACATAAATTTAAAATTATTAGATAAGTGAAAATAAACGACCTAGATAAACAGTAAAAATGAGAAAATATTCGCTGCAAAAAAGAAAATTAATCTCAACTGTCTATTTTTACTCATCCAACAGTATTAAATTGATATAAAACTAAAAAAAATTATATTATGTAAATTAACCTATATATATATATATATTTCACGACGACAAGTCGCTCATGGAAACTAAAAAAGTGGTGATTGGGGCTTAAATTTTTTTATTTTTTGGGTAAACTACGTGGATAGTCACTAAACTTTGAAAGTAAAAAATTGCCACTAAATCACTAATGTTTAGTTTCATTTTCATTTTGGTCACTCTTTCATAATTCCTTTAGTGCTATGTGTCATCATAATCATACGATTGGTCTAAAAGGTAAAAGAAATTAAAATTATGGACTTAGAATTTACCCTTAATGGCCCGTGTCACCATGATGATATGATATTGCTTTAAATGGTTAAAGGAAATTGAAACATTAAGCGTAGACATGATATTGCTCTTAATGCCCCTTAAGGTTGACAATAGATATAATGGAGTAGGTTGAACTTAAAAATCCATCAATTTTCTTTAACATGCCAAGTTACTTTTTTGAATTAATCACTCTACCCGAATTGATCGACTAATCCAAATCAGGTGTTGTAGAGGCAAGGACGACCCTCCCAATCCAATTTGCTCCATTCGCAAACGTTAGGGTTTGAATCATTGATCTTGATTAAGGAATCTAGTGTCTCATCCCACTGAATCAATTGGTTGTTGGTAACATGGCAAGTTTATTGATGAATTAATATTGATTAAATGCAAAAAAAAAAAGGTAAAAGAACACTCTAGAGGAGAGGAAATTAAGTAGTAATTATATGAAACTAATATGTAATTTCTTTTGCGGGTCTCAATCATATATATATTAAATTGAATTTCAACGTTTTAAAGTAACGCAGGCAGCTGATTTCCAGATTGCAGCCAAATAGATAGGTACATATAAGAAAAAATTTCAATGTTGAGAATGATTACAAATTGTAAGGTTGTAATGTTAAAGGCGATGAAGTCAAATCAGATTACAACTTAATTTCATAGCAATAATTATGGTTTCCGGATTTCAAGCAGTGGTTAGGCAAACAAGCAAGTGCTTCATTCAACCATGTCAATATCAGTCATCCACCCATGGACTATAGTGAAAAGCAGTATCAGAACAAGTGTTTACGTCTGGATTCATGTTTGATTGTTTAGGTTTGGATTCATGTTTATAAGTAACGAATCAAGTAATTTCAGTAGTTAGAGGGATGATTGTTATCGTAGAAGACTCGGATTTAAACACGTCATCTACAGAGATGTTTGAACAATTATTGTTAAATAAACAAATATTTTTTGAACAAATAATATCTTGTAGTCACCAAATTAATAAGAAAAACAAATATAAGAACTTAATATATAGCAGAAAAATATAGAAACACGTATTCTCCTCTGTTGAACAAGAAATATTACTGGACGCACGTTAGCTTTATGATGACCTTCTAGAGCTAGCTAGCTTGTCCACAATTTTGTACAATATAGACATGCAATAAAATCATGAAACCAATATTTATGTATTGTATAAAAAAATTAAATTATAATATAAGTTTTTCTTTAAATAAAGCCACAATAAAAAATTATGAAAAAAATAAAATAAAACATGACAAAAATAAGATATAAACAAATAATTAAAACATGAGATCTGAGATGGATTCCATGTCAGTAAATCAAGTATGGACTTTGGTTGAACCACTTGAAGGGGTCAAACCTATAGGGTGTAAATGGGTTTTCAAGAAGAAAACCGACATGGATGGTATTGTACAAACATACAAGGGGCGATTAGTCGCTAAAGGTTTTCGACAAGTTCATGGTGTAGACTATGACGAAACATTCTCCCCTGTAGCTATGTTTAAGTCCATCCGGATCTTGCTCACACTAGTTGCATTACATGATTATGAAATCTGACAAATGGACGTCAAAACAACTTTCCTTAATGGAAAACTTGAAGAGGATGTGTATATGACACAACCAGAAGGTTTTGTTATTCCAGGAAATGCTGGAAAGGTTTGTAAGCTACAGAGGTCTATTTATGGACTAAAGCAAGCTTCTCGAAGCTACAATCTTCGTTTCAATGATGCAATCAAAGTGTTTGGTTTTATCATAAATGAAGATGAGCCTTGTGTTTATAAGAAGGCTAGTGGGAGCATTATTTCTTTCCTAATTTTGTATGTAGACGACATACTCATCATAAGAAATGATATACCTACTTTACAGTCTGTTAAGACTTGGTTAGGTAGTTGTTTTTCTATGAAAGATTTGGGTGAGGCAGCGTATCTTAGGAGTTAAGATCTATAGAGATAGATCAAGATGGCTTCTAGGTCTGAGTCAAAGTATATATAGACAAAGTGCTAAAAAGGTTCAATATGGAAGAATCCAAGAAAGGATTTTTCCCTATGAGACATGGCATTTCTCTTTCTAAGGAAATGTGTCCTTCAACTCCACAAGAAAGAGAACAGATGAATAATATTCCATATGCTTCGACAATTGGTTCTATAATGTATTCCATGATATGTACTCGACCAGATGTATCGTATGCTCTAAGCATGACGAGTTGGTATCAAGCAAACCCTGGTGAAAATCACTGGGTTGTGGTTAAAAATATCCTTAAGTACTTAAGAAGAACTAAGGATAAATTTCTTGACTATGGAGGGGAGGAAGAGCTTAGTATAAAATGTTATACTGATGCCAGCTTCAAAACTGACAAGGATGACTCACGATCGCAATCGGGTTTTGTCTTAATGGAGGTACTGTGAGCTGGAAAAGTTCAAAGCAAGACACAATAGTTGATTCTACAACAGAGACTGAATACATTGCAGCCAGTGAAGCAACAAAAGAGGCTGTTTGGATCAAAAAGTTTTTATCGGAATTAGAGGTTGTTCCCAGCATATTAGATGTTGTAGAAGTCTGTTGTGAAAAATAATGGAGCCATTGCACAAGCAAAGGAACCCAGATCTCATCAACGATCCAAACATATTCTTAGGCGCTTTCATCTTATTCGAGAGATAATAGATCGAGGAGATGTGGAAATATGCAGAGTACACACAGATGACAACATTGCTGATCCCTTGACGATGCCTCTTACACAGCAGAGGCATGATCGTCACACTGAGTCACTCAATATTAGATATGTGAGTGATTGGTCTTAGTGCTAGTGGGAGATTGTTAGAGTATGGCCAAATACCAATCATATGATGATTGTAATAATACTTTTATTTACCAATTTTATTGAATAAATGCATTGCCGCTATTATTTTCAGTTATATATATGTGTTTAACAAAAACTGGAAAATAATAAAGTCCATATAACGACATAATTGTTATTATTAAAAGATCCCTAGTCAAGTATTATTATGGGCATGGATAATAATACATTTAAGACTAACATGTTATTGATTGATGACAACGAGTTGTCATTGACATAGAGATGTCAAAATTGATACATGATTATATTGTTAGAAAACAATGTATTGGATTGACCCACCATGAGCATATGTCTTGGATTATTATGTGACAGTCATAACGTTGCTCATGGTGATGACTATATGTATGATCCTGAGACTTGAGATCAATACTATCCCTACATATATTGTTGTATGTTTTGATGCAGTTAAACAAGCTCTGTAACTGGTTGCTTTATAACAACTGCTATTGAATATATCTCAATATATGTAGTGGGTGTGTATGATTAAGATAAAATTTGTCCTTCCTACATAATAGGAAATATATCATAGGCCACTTGATTGAGTGAGAC